CATATATTAAATATACATAAATATATATGTATATTTAAGTAACAAACTCTGCAAAGGGTTGTATATGTCTGCTGTTAGATATAAAAGAAAGTTCAGTGGTAAAGATTTTTATGAAGAGCTAATACCACGTTTGGCTCATAAGGGATTTAAGTAACAAAAAGCAATCAATATCTTCATGATTGGAATTTGGTGATGGTAGAAGAGTAAAAAAAACCTTTTTTGAAGAAATAACAAATTGCAAACATCACATGATAGTGGAGGCAACTATGACACATATTTGAATTAATTATATCATACGCCTTCACTCACAATAAGCCATTACAACATTAAATAATACATACAAATGGGATTTTCAGGACACTGATAAATCACACTTATTATTATCTGTAGAACTACAAAAGTTGAGTTTAACAAAAACTTAGTTGAACTGATGGGAAGTCCTCCTGAGAACAATACTTGCCCTGTAAGAATCGCTGTGACACTCAGTAACAGGCAAGTACTGCTCACACAAACACTTTGACTTTCACACTGTTCCTGTTTAGGTGATTTGACTTGGATAATAATCAAATTAATTACTTAATAAAAGACACGTGCTCAGTTTTAGGACGCAGGTAGCTTCACAAGCTTGCTTCTTTCCTTTTCAGAAATTTCTGCTGCTCCTGCTGCCCTTCCCTGGGGTTCCTCTTTAATTTTGCAATAACCAAAAAGCGAGTGTTCATCAGGAAACAAAGGTGCAATATTCCTCCCTTCTCCTGTTAGGGAAACACCATTCTGGCTGCTCTTCAAACAGAAGCATTATTACATTTAATACCCAAAGTCTTTTAAATGGAAACAAAACTCAAATGATCTATGATATAAAGAACAGAGAACATACAAAGTAGCAAGAAATCCCAACAGCACAGCAAAACTAACGTTACAACAATTTGATTATACAAATACTTTAAAAGATATTTTAAGAAAACTCTGCAGAAAATGCAATTTTCAGAACTGCTGCTAGTGACTCCCACCATGAATTGTAACTTTTCAGGATTTTTTGAAGTGCAGAATTTCTGTAGAGCATTTAATTTTCAAGGTTATTTCTTTTTGCTTTTCAAGGTTATTTTTTTTTTGGTTTGGTGTGGTTGGTTTGGTGGTTTTTTTGGTGGGTTTTTTTTGGGTTTTCTTTCTTTTTTTTCAGACCAGGCTGCCCAAACATCTGAAGAATGTAGTTTTGTAACATGTTATAGGAGTGTTTGAACATATATGGCAGTTCCCACAATTTCCAACCAGAAACAGAACTATTAGACAGCACAGGTGCATTTTCACCTCTTTTATGTTCCCCTGTACTCCACCTTTCAACCTCAACTCCTGACCTTTGGAATGATCATTCACTCTATACTTCATGTTGGAGAAAATCAGACTTCTTTCTTTTTTAATTTCAAATTATTATTATTATTAAATGAAAGGCTTTCTGATATGAGAGGTGATCCATTCCACGGGACATCTTGATGAAGAACTTGAAACGGTCTCTCTTGCTGTCTCCACAAGCACCTTGACAATACGCCATGAGAAGCAAGGGATGCACTTCCACAGCTTGCTTCCCTGTCATTTGTGCTTTAGTATACAATAAAATCTGTGCCACTAAATATAACATTACACAATTGTATGATGTACATAAAAGAAACAAAAATAAAGAAGGCAGGTTTGCACAAAAGCAACTATACATTCTGGTATCCACAAATTGGGGATTAAGCTTATAAAATTGCTAAGGAACACAAATGAGAAAAAGAAAAATTCACCTCTTTACAAAAGTTATGAAAAATAAACTCTTCAAATACATCAAAACAGTCATATAGATATGGACACACAATTTTGTGAAGTTAATACACAAATGCATACTTGGAACATACGTGCAGTGTAATTACTGTGTTTGTAACTCGCATGGGACAGAGATATTGTACACCACCTAATTTCTCCAGTTTTGTTGGATCTTTTACAGTTTGTGGTTTGTCTCATTCACCTGCACTTTATAAACTGACTTGTAACCTGAGGATCTAACCTTTATAAGGAATGAGCTTTGAAGCACTCAAATATTGTTACCAAAGCACGTTGATTTCTATAGCAAGTAAATACGTTTGTTCAGCGTACTCTTTGAAGAGCTCTTTGAAACCAACAGAGAAATCACCTGTGAAGAGACTCAAGTTCTCATGAACTAGGGTTGAAACCATTCTGACCAAACATCACCCCAGTTATTTATAGCACCAGTTCATCAAAGACCTGCAGGACTGTTGGGGGAAATTCCATTTGCACATTAACCTCAGGGTAACTGTCGTAACCTGCAGTAGGACCAGCAGTGGTTACTCCATAGATACACCAGCTCAGGAAGTCCCTGAGATATGGACTGGTGGGAGTCAGAGGCTGCTGGTGAAGAAGCACTCCTCAACATGTTTTTCTACTCTCTCTTCAAATTTTGGGGAAAGCACTATTTTGGTCCAACCTGCTATCACCACTCCTATGTTCTTATGACTGTTGTGCAATGTACTAGGCAGGTATATTGGGGAAAAAGATATTATTTTTAGAGTGGTTTGATTTCTTTCTGTCAGAGATAAAATGTTATTTCATTAGATCTTTCCTTTCTGCTTATATATTTTTAAAAGTTGCACTTTATAAAATGGCATTTTATATTTATCTATTGAAGTATCCAAGTAGTGGAGAACAGAATTTGAACTATTTAGCAGAATAAAATAACCAATAACTCCTTGAGAACTGTATTTTCTGTATATTCCCAAAGTATATGATTTGTTGAAAAAAAAAAAAAAAATTAGTATGAAAGAGCAAATTGGAATGCTTTCCTCACTGTTAAAAGATGGTCAAAATCTCCTTTCAAGGTGAAAATGCACATGCATTTCCTCTTAAATAGTTTATGTGGCAATCACCAAGCTTTTACCTATTATAGACTCCTCAATCTGATTAGATCTGTTTTCCTTTTTTGCAGTTTTGAACATTTTTAGATACCTTCATTTCGGTCTCTGGACACAGCCAGAAGTTCAACTAAATACACAATACGAGTTAAACAATTGTTTGTTTAACAGCACTTTTCGTGTAGCAAGTCTTTTGTGCACAAATTAGTAAGTAAAGCATAAATCATGCTAAAATAGAATCTGTTTCATGGCATTGGTAGGAGTTTCTCATTAGATAACGACGGGAAAAATTCAGTTCTCCAAGCTATAGTTATGGAAAAAAAGCAATTTGTACTACTAAAATAAGAGACAAAGAAAACAATTAAAGAATGGACCGAGACAGGTTTGATAAGCATTTGTATGGGCAGAGGTACACATGTATCTAGAGAGAGATATGTGCATATAGATATATAAATATACCTTCCCCTCCTCAGCGTTTTGTTGACATGAATTGTGAACTTCTTCTTCTCTGACTAGTTTTCCAGGCCATGAAGTCAGTCCTTTGATTTGGCCCCAGACCAAGTCGCCAACGTTAAACGTCCTCGGCCTGTAATGTATCAGCTCATTTGAAGAAGGGGAGTCTGGGTTCCTTAGGTCATCTTCACTACTGATGCTTTTAGCATCTGAAGGGCTAGGCACACACCCATTAATGCTTTTGGCATTAAAATCTCCATTGTAATGGATATAGTCTTTAACTAACGAACTTTCCAAGCTATTTGAGGAACTTGGAGATTGCTCTTCCAGAATCAGGTCTTGTTTAGAAGTGTTCAGCAACTCCCCAAACCCTCTGTTCTGCTGAGGCCTGTTTCCGTTGATGTGTGCACATCGTTCCACAGTGTTCTCCAGTCTTTCCTTAAAACTCATCATAGTTCTTTTGTAATTGTTATACCTGAAATTCTCCTCCAACATTTTATCAGTTTGACAGTTTCGCTGTGATAACAGTATCTGATGCTGCTCGCCTTGTAATAATGGCAGTGTGGAGATGTTATTGGGCCTTTCGTGACAAGGACTACTATGGATATGGGTGGGGTGGTCTAGAAACTCATCACATTTCCATCTATTTATCTCACTGACAGGACTTTGCTCCCCTTCCCACTGTTTTTTGGGTGTGTTACAACTGGTTGGTTTGTAATATTCATACCCATCCCCTTCACTTGAGTTTTTACCGTGCTCTGAATTCTTCAGTATTCGTGTTCCTCTAGCGTTCCTTATCCTACCTTCGTGATCAGAAACGGCAACGTTTCTTCCATGGATTACTGCACTGACAGCACTAGAAAGATTTAATGGGTCACCAATTGAGGCTGTGAAGGCACTCATGGCACTCAAAGCTGGAATGGGACTCATCTGTGTGGTACTGCTAACGGCAGTGGTGATTACTACTTGCATTCCTTTGCTTGCAGCATCTACAACTGCTTTGTAGATAGCGTCCACCGACGTATCACCCTGAGCAGCGACATTGAGGTTATTATCCTTTGCCTGTTGTCCAAGAGATGGTTCAGTTCTTTGCTGCAAATCACAAGATGTTTCTTGGAAAGGAGGAAGCATAGTGTTGGAGCTCTCAGGAAGTGGTGCCATTCCCATTTGAGTGATCACTCTCTTGTTTAGGACAGCAGCATCTTCCTGCATTCTTACCTGGAAAAAAGAGGAGAAAAAGATGGAAATTGCTACATTGCCCAAAAGATGGAAATTTCAACAGACAAACTGGTTTATTTTAATGAAACATCAGGATAGTGGCCAGGGTGACTATTTGTTACGGGTATAATTTTATTTTGGTTATATATCAGTTAACAAAGTTTAATGCTGAACAAGCTAGAGAGAAAACAAAAAAAAAAAGCACAATTTAGGGGAAAAAATCACCCCACTGGCTCTTAAAACTTTGCCTCATGGATCAAAATAGATGCCTTGTGTGAAATGACACAACCTGCCATGCACTGCTGAGACTACATTATCATCTCTTCCAGAGTCTTTTCAGGGATTTCCTCTTCTGATTGAGCTACAGCACCCTCCTTTTTGTTCTCTCAAGTCCTAAACAATCCACCAAGGGCAATATTTATCTTCTGAACTATTCTCTTGTGTGACTTCCTAGACTCTCATTTTGCTGTTTACCTCCCTACCAACTGTTGTTGTGGGCTCCTTGTATGCTCCTCATTCAACTTCTGGAACGCAGACCCTCGCTGTCCTTTTGGAACTGGCTAACATTTCTATCTTTTCCCTTTCAGTTATGTGCTTCTCTTGTGGGATTTCTTTTTATTTCAGTCCCTTGTAACCTACTCCTGCATCCCTTTGCATTGCAGCTGTAATGTCAGGCACGGCCACAGTAAACTGTAACCTTCAGATTAAAGCAACTGTGAATTTGTATTTCTTGTCACATATGTGGGCAGTGGAGATGATGTCAATAGTAGTGCTATAAGAAAAAAAGTGTAAAAAACAAGGGGAAAATATTTCCAAATGCTCCTTTAAATACTTAACAATTACTATTTATGCAACTAAGAATCTGAAGCAAAAAATACTGAGATAAAGCTAACAAAATTCATACAAAACCAGAGGTCATAGGCAGTTAGAAGACTGTGATTTCGCCATGGCAGTGAAACATCTACATTGAGAAAATGACACGTCATCTTTTTACTTCTGAAAGGGTAAAAGCTTTTTCTGGCACTATTTGCACACTTCCATCTGCACATCTTTAGTTCTGCAGCAACCACGGTAATACTGAATAATAATAATAAATACATCTTGTAACTCTGGTTTTACTACCCAGTTTGCTTGCTCTGCTTCCTATCTGTGTTAGTTCGATAGTTCAACTTGCACCATGAAGAACTGTCTATTTAGGTGGGTAGCAGAGAGGTACCATTTTTGCACAGCCTGCCATTGTCTACTCAATATACAATATACTGAGTACACCATATACAATCCACTCTGCAGCCTATATAACCCACATCACAGCTGGGTTTTCCATTCCATTTCAGTGGGAATGTAAGAGGACTGGTACACACGGTCACCTATAAACATCTATTAAGTTACCAACTACTGTCAAGATATTTATTTCTCACCACTGAATCATTAGATTGGTCTAAACAGGAATTTATGATAATTTCTGTGGAATGGAAAATAGTTTTGCTAAAAATGTAGAGTAATTATCAGAACTCTTTTTTTTTTATTTTCAGTATGTGCAGCGTAACTCTTTCCAAAGGAACTATACCCAATTTGTGAGGAAGAAGGTATAAAATTTCAGTAACAGATGTTACTGATTTGCAAAACCCAAAAACTACTGAAAGAGGCAAGCAATTGTATGTATCATATTGTCTTAATCACGCCAAAAAAAAATTAAAAATAAAAATAATCAAACTACGGAGGATATAATTTTACCTACTGAGAGTTGCACATTTGTTTGAATATGGATTTCATTTTGCTTTCTACCTGGAAATTTTGGAACAGACATGCCATGGGGTTTGGGTTGTTAGCTGGGCCAGGAACTGGGGGCTGGCCTTGAAAGCCCTGCATGTTCTGATACCCCTGGAGAAGGTGCTGTTGCTGCTGATTCGAAGGAAACATCTGATTGTTGTTTAATAGCGACTGGAGATGACTCAGTTGATCGTTATTCAAAGTAGTGTTTATAGATGACATGTCACCTGTAATTCAAACACAGGGAAACAGAAGTCAGTATAGTTTTCTACAGTCAGGAGGAATTTCCTTGACTCAAATTTTAACTGACTGCTAAGCAAATGCCTCTGTAAAACAACACTTTTCCCCTTCAACCTTCTACGGAATGGTCCTCGAGGAACGGGTTTCCTACTCTTTATTTCTTCAGTATTGCTTCTTCTGCACATCACATCTATCTGGACTCTCTCTAAAGGTTTCTGACACGACTGCCTTTGCCTTTGGAATGGTTCACAGCCACGTATGGCAGAATGAGCCTCTACAATATTCAGTGTCTGGGAATCTTACTCTTAGTTTCCAAAGAGTGACTGCTTCAAATAGTACTAAGGTGGTGAGGGGGAGGAGGTGGAAGAGAAAAAGGGAGAGAGAAAGAGAAAATAATTTTAAAAAACCCAACAAAACTAGTTTTTCATCAACTAGGACAAACTAAGGTGAGCCAACTGCAAATGAGCAAAGGCTTTTTGGTTCACAGACATGTCAGCCAACACTCTAAACAATTATTTTTTACTCTTTTACATTCTAGAGAAACAACCGTATTAACGCTTTGTATGACACGAAAATCTCACTTTACATGAAAATTATAGTTCTAGTAAAATAAATACGCTGTTCAACCTGACTTTATGAAATAAAAAAAGCTTAAAAATGTATCCATTTCCTAGAGGTTTATTTTTTTTAATTAAAAGCTCATGTTTTTCTTGAAATTGCCGTTTGCAGAATCATTGGTTAGTCACATTTTACATGGAAAATGTAAAGTAGGGGTGAGTTCACGATAGTCATTTAGTAGGTAAGCACGAGGTGTTAAGTTAAAATACTTATCAGCTCTTTGGCACTATTTAATTCCTCCTACTAGTCTATTTATTAGATTATGTAGACCAAACAACAGAGGAGAACTGACTATATTACATATTCTCGATAAAAATCATCAAAAGACTCAGGAAAAAAAAAAATCCCTTTTATTTCAGGGCTTTTTAATCACTTGTTTTGGGATGTAGGTGTTTGTCAAGTGAGATAACCCACGTTTCTAAACTACAAGCTAAAGTAAAAAAAAAATAAAAACAAAAAAGAGAAATGAGAAAATATAAATACACAATGAAGGGCTTGAAGGGCAACCTCCCTCTTGTGCAAGGACCTGCTTCGAGTGCTTTCTGGATCACTTTATGGGGAGTGTTCTCACAGTTTTGGGGCTTTTGATTCATTTGGAAAGACGCACTTGTCCATTTTTCATCTACCACACAGCTACTCGTACTAACCCTGTGATGCCACACGCACTTGAAATGAAACGCTGCAGCCCAGAGATGCGCCTGCCCTTTGACTACTTGAAAAATGAAACAAGTCCAATTGCTTACAGAATTTTAAGGTGTGTGTATAGTAGGTCTAGGTGGCATCAGAATTAAGAATGGAATGTAAAATAATTTCCAAAACCAGTATTAAATGTTACTGAATTAAATTAGAATGTATTTTAAATTTCTTACAATAACAGTTATGTTTTTCCTCAATAGAAATAAACAAGCTGTGACATACAAGAACCTTAAAAAAAAAAAAAAGTATGGTAAAGTGGAGTTTTTAAAAAAAGAAAGTAGAATCCAAAATTCCCCCTCCCCAACCCTCTTCCTTATTTTTTTTTTTTTTCCTTTTATATCTGTGAAGAAATTGAACTTACCAAGCAGACCTGTCCCCAGTAGAGGGTTAAGTAGCTGTGGCACCACAGAGTTATTGTTGAGTTTAGCTGGACCAGATGGATTCCCAGCATTATTAGATATGTTCAGCAATGTTTCTGCCATTGACACCACTGCTGTCCCACCACCCAGGGTTGAGACAGACAGTGCTGTCACTGCTGATGATGTAGTGGTTGTGGTAGTGGTTGCTTGGGAGGAGGTGGCTATGGAAACCTCTGGATGATTAGCGGTGTTGCCCGATGCAGAGTTCAGGACACCTCCCACCAGCTGGGGATTCAAGGCCACTAATGCTGAGGCCCCAGAGACAGCTGGGAGGAGCAGGGGGTTAGAAGTAGTGTCAGTGCCTGAAAAGCTTGGTATGGGGTTGCCCAGGGGGTTGGTTAAAAGGGTCTCCACCCTGTTGCTCTCTGACTGATTGCTTGGCAAATGGTCAGGTGGGGCGGTCATCTGTGTTACTGAGGGTAAAGGGTTATTTTGCTGTTGCAACAAATCTGAGATGGTCAGATTGAAAGATGGTAGGGGAAGCATGGCAGCTGCTTGGGCTTGGTTCTGAAGGAGGGTTGCTAGAAGCTGAAAATGAACAGGCTGTAATACCTGCCCATCCACGTCACTGGAGAGAAAAGCTAAAGCAGCATTTACATTCGGGTTGAGAAAACCTAAAGGGTTGAGGTTGACCTCAGACTTGCCTTCTCCTGCTGAAGGCTGGAGTATATTTAATAGATTCTGGTTTAGGAGATGTTGCTGATTCACTGGCAAAGAGATAGGTAGAGAATTGAGGAGGTTTTGATTCAAAGAATGTGGAAGATTGTTGTTTGAAGAGCTGTTCTGCGGAAAATGAAGCGAGTGTTCGTGGCCAGCAAAAGGGAAATCGCTCCCGAGGGGCAGCTGGCTCTGAAGTGGGTTTCCAGCTGCAGTAGTGACTATAACACCATCTTGAAGCACAGATGTTGTCTTTGTGATGGCAGGTTGGCTGGTGCCAGCTATGGCTATTGATGATGATGGTCCTGAACCCCCTGCAACACAAAAGAACAAAACTATTAATAGAATATTGCCTGTTGGGAGACAATCATCCAAGTTATAAAGTAAACTAGGTTAATTCAGACCAGTAAAGTTTGATATCCATGCACAGGAAAGAAAATGTTTTGAGCACCCAGACTTGAGTACTTTTTAAATATGAATGAATCTGCCATCAGCTACTTCAGACACTACGTGCTGTGCCACATCTCAGGAGAAATTATTTAACTATACGCTTGTATTTCCCTTAAATTTCTTGGAGTGGGGATAGAAGAGGATTTAATTTATGACATATATTCATTAGTATAAACCTAAAAGCAACCATAACTTCATATAATTAGTCATGGACCAGTACAAAATTAACTACTAGGAAGAAGGATCAATGGGAGACGTGAATGATGTTGTGTGAAAGAGTACAAGTACATGATCTAAATGGAGATGTTAACCTTATGCTCTTCTATTTCCTGCTCTATTACATTAATGAGGTTTTGGAGAATAATTATTTAAAGCATCATTTTGGACTCCTGAAGAAAAAAACCACAATGATGACAATTACATGTTATGATGATGCCCATGATAAATTATGATGCCTATGATACATTATGGCCCAGGCAGTTTATCAGACAAAAACACTCAAAAATTTATGAAGAAAAATAACTATATTGGGGTGGTCTAGTCATATCCATCACTTGGCATGAAATGAAAGACCAACTGGGTAGATATACTGTGAGGGGGTTACACAAAAAGAATGAGAGAATAGCAGTTTATTTGGTTATCTTTCTACTCCTTTACCAAAACTGAAGTATCAAATAGATTATTCATGGCCTTTCACTCAAGGTAGAGTCTTGAACTGACAGGAGTCACACACAAAAAACATATGAGAGGAGACTAAGAGAATTCAAGCAAGTGCAACTGCCTCAAACTCCACCCTTCCACTTTATTCATTGCAATTCATTGGAGAATATTTGAGTATTAAAATTATATACTGCATGTATATAAAACTGTATAATTATAAATGTATTGAACTATGGTTTTGATGTAATAAAATAATTTTCCATTATCAACTGCCCTGCAAATATAGCTTATATGATAGAGACCAGAAGGTATCTATTATCAGAAAGTATCAATTAACATTTTTATAAACAAATAATATCTGAAAAGGGAAATGCAACTACAATATTACCTGGTAAGAAGTGAATCAAATCTTTACACCATTTGTAAGTTAAAATAGTGTTTTTCGAGTACTGTACCGTCACGACAACTCAAAAAGATACAAAACTAACAGGAGAAGAAAGATCACACCCTCTCTCCAAGGTACCATTATCACATTTTGGTATAGAAAATAAATAACATATTAACAAAGATAAAGTAAGAACAAATTGTAATCGTAAAGCAGAGGATATCCAATTCTGGTGTGATGAGAAATATGTTAACAAAGCAATAAAAGCTGTTTCACAACGAGTACGTGTCTCTAGGCAGCAGTTTGGAACAAAAAAACAGACATGCACTTGAGGAAAAAAACCCAGCCATGCACTGAAAATATCCATCCCATTGGATTTCCACTTGTGGTTTGTGTTTAACATTTCAGATTAGGCAGAAATAACAAACACTTGTCTCTGGACATCCCCAGACCTGGCAAATGCCTCCTGTGTACCTGAGAAACTGGCACCCACACCCTCCCTGCCTTTCTAGCTTAAAAATACAGACTTCTACAAATTATAGATATTTTCCCAATAAAAGTAAATTAAAAGCTGCTAATCAGACAAGTTGCTCAGAATTATTCAAAATTAAGAAGAAGCTAGTAACAGCAAACCTAGTGGTAGAAGTGAATGAAAACCAACGTATGTTTTCTACCAACATATCTGTCCTGCTACTAGTTACCTAATTCTGGAGAGACGCCACCTCTGTCAATGCCTCCAACATGGAACAGAACAGAAAAAAGGCAGATTCCCTCCAGCACGTGTTTACACATCAATGCTTAATACTGAGATGACATGTTAAAAAGATTTTTCATGTGTGTGCACTTTTTTTTTTTCCCTTTTAGTATTTTGCTATTTTTGTAAATAAGCCAACAGTAAAACACAGTTCATACAAATCACTGTCATAACATAAAATTAAATTCAATGTGTATGTTGACTATTTATTTTTAACACACGACCGTAAACTCTGGCTACACAAATTCAATTACACAAATCCCAGAGAACCTAGACTGAAATATAACTGCACATCTTCCTTCCACCTCCTTTTTTCTTTATTAATCTCTGAAATATTTTAAACTGTATTTTTAGAAAAGTAATAGAAAAAATAGTAATAGAAAAGTAATAGAAAACTCTTTGCAATCTTTCTGGCTAAAAGCAAATTATTTTTGTTTCACTGGAGAAAAGAAAACACATCCACTTATAATAAATTCAAATTCTCATGCCAGGCTTGTAATGGATCAGTTCTTACAGAGCCCACAGCGATACCATTATTAACTACCAGGTAACTTTTGCCCATAAAAAAGGAAATTTAGAAATTTTTTGGGTTTTTTTTAATATGAGTATCCAGAACTGACACTCCAAGGATTTAAATATTAGTAAAAATCCCAAAGACCAAACTCCAGATTTAAGAAATACCATGACAAAGTTATTCCTATATGGTTTTAAGAGAAGAATCAGCTGTACCACCCAAATGACACAAGACGGATCCTTACTGTACTTAAAAATATACAGGGCCTCTTAAATAATGTTGCTTGAAAAATTGCTCACTGAAGCAAAACTCTACCACTGCACCTGGAGACACGATTTGTGTCAGTCTCTCTGTTTGTAATCTAGTTTAAGATGGACCAGGTAATACTTGACCATCTTCAGATGGCTGTTCCTCCCACTTGTAAATGACCTTCCAGAGAAAATCTTCTTGTCATATCGATAAAACCAGGCTACCATCAGTCTCCTGCCATGGTAACAGTCTGATACACTGGATTTTCTAAGGCATGAGTTTGTTTCAGGTGATACATATTTTTTTTTGAAACTCTTTACTCTTGCAATATACAAGATATATTATTCTATATATATAATTAATTATTATAATAAT